ATGATATGGCTATTCCTTAGAAAGTGTCAGTAATTGATAGACACCTGTAGCCTGGGTAGTCCCACAAACAGCAACCTGAACAACAGATACAGATATTGTCAGTCACAAAGTTATGTGGATTGATCGTTCAGGTCTTTCCTCTCCCTCTGGCAGGACCTACCTAATGGGAAATTATTTTTTGTTGTTGTTGTTAATCCTCACCCGAGGGTATTTTTCCATTGATATTTTTTAGAGAGAGCGGAAGCCTCTCTTTCTTACCTTGTAAGAAGAGTCACATTCTTACGAGATAAGCCTTTCTTTCTAAGAGTGCAGGTTCCTGAGGGAGAGACTGAGAGAGAGAAACATTGATGTAACAGAGACACATCCATTGGTTGCCTCCTGCACATGCTCTGACCAGGCCTGGGGATTGAGCCTGCAACTGAGTTTACTAGCCCTTGATCAGAATATTATCTGAGACCCTTCAGTCCACGGACTGAGGTTCTATCTACTGAGCCAAACTGGCTAGTATGGGAGATTAATTTTTTAATCACCTGCAGTAAAGTAGCATTAGATGTACATTTTAAAACATTAAATTTACTTCCAAAATTGTAAACACAGTTTTATCATGTAAACAGTCTTTCGAAGAAATAGTCTATGTAAGTATCATCTCCAAGTATTATTTAAGTTGTTTGTCAGCCACATTTCTATTAAGCCTGATATAATTTTGGCCAGATGACATTTCTGAGTAGTTTGCATGTCTAAATTGAACATTGATTTTTCCGCAGATGGCCTGTCTTTCTTTGCACAATGCCTAATTTTTTTTATGTGAGCTAGACTTTTTATACTTAGAAGTTTCCATGGCCTACTAGTATGTAGAAAAGATTTCCCACTGTATCATAAAATTTTTGAAACTGGAGACGATGGTAAAAATAAGACCATGTGTGGACACTAAACCATGAGAATCACATTCTGACAAGATAAGCCTTTCTTCCTAAGAGTACAGGTTCCTGAACTTAAGATATTGTCACATTATTAATGTATGCCATTTATAAGTATGTCATTGACAACAAAACTTGAGTCTAGAAAACTAAACTCACAAGTAGCAAAAGCACATACTTTGAAACAAACAGGTTATTAAAAAAAACTCAAAAACTTTTTCTCCACATACACATATGTATATATACATACATATATATTTATTATTTTAAAATTTATAACATAAAGAGGAGAAAAATCACCCTCAAAATCACTATAAAAAGTCATTACTCAGGGATAGATGGTGATGGAAGGAGACTTGATTTGGGGTGGTGAACACACAATACAATATTCGGATATGTATTATAGAATTGTATACCTGAAAGTTTATTAACCAATGTTACTAATCAATTTTTAAAAGTCATTACTCTTAAGATTTGGGGATTTCCCTATCTTTTTTGGTTTTTCTTTCTTTATTTGCATTGTTTATGGTTACTAAATTCATATTGTTGTGATTATAGACATCTTATTCTATCTCATATTTTATGTTAAAAAATTATCTCCCATGTTAATAAAACTAATGGTTTTTGTGCCCTGACATATTTGTCCTATAGTATATGCTTTTGTGTAGACAACATGCAAATTAAATTCATTTTTTATGATGGAGCTGGAGAGTATTATGCTAAGTGAAATAAGTCAGTCAGAGAAAGATACATATCACATGATCTCACTCATTTGTGGACTATAATGAACAACATAAACTTATGAACAAAAACAGATCTAGAAACAGAGAAGCATTGATCAGATGCTCAAACCTCAGAGGGTAGGTATGGGAGGGTTGGGGTAAGGGGGAGCGATCAACCAAAGGACTTGTATGCATGCATATAAGCATAAGGGATGGACGCAGACAACAGGGGGTGAGGATGAGGTCAAGACTGGGGGCATGAGGGGACAATGGGGGGATAAAGACACATTTGTAATACCTTAATCATTAAAAAAACTAAAAAACACACTAATGGTTTTTGTGCCCTGACTTACAACTTGTCCTATAGTATATGCTTTTGTGTAGACAACGTGCAAATTATATCTATTTTTTATGTATCTGAGTGTATTTTTCATCTATTGCATATTATCATAGAAGTACTTTCATTATGAATCAAGATAGAATTCTCTTACATCCTGAGAACCATCAATCTGCAGAACAAAGATTCTGTAGGTCAACCATGTGAAGGATGTTGTGACCCAAAGAATTTCCATACGTGTGTGTTTTGTTACTGGGAGTAATCGTAATTCCTCAATTATATAGAGATCTCACTCAACCAATATTTCCCACCCCACTTTGGAATTACTGACTTTGTCTCCCTTGGTTCCACACCTGCAGCTGGAAAAGGCCGCCACCTATGAAAATTTGACTGAGTGGACCAGCGCAGACATGATGGAGATGTATGATGTGAAGCTGCACCTTCCCAAGTTCAAGCTGGAAGAGTCTTATGATCTCAAGTTAGCCCTAAGCAGCATGGGGATGAGCGATGCCTTTAGCCAGAGCAAGGCTGATTTCTCAGGAATGTCCCCAGAGAAAAACCTATTTCTGTCCAATGTTTTCCACAAGTCCTTTGTGGAAATAAATGAAGAAGGTACTGAGGCTGCAGCTGGTAGTGGGAGTGAGGTGAGTTATCGAATTAAACTCCCATCCATTGAATTCAGTGCAGACCACCCATTCCTCTTCTTCATCAGGCACAACAAAACCAATACCATTCTCTTTTATGGGAGATTCTGCTCCCCCTAAGCCTGCTTCTTCCTCATCAAACAAGACGATGTGAAAAATACATCATAAGATGGAAAAAAATTATAATAAAAACTAGTTTGCAGTCTAGGTATTTTTCACATTTGAATATTAGAAAATAAACCTTGAAATAATGCATTCTAATGATACTGTCATATCTTTTTTCAAATATTACTATAATAGTTATTATATTTAAAAAATGACATCCAGGCGTCAGACTACACAAGAGTAAAAATAAGAGAAGATATTATTTACAGCACGGGGGATCATAGCCAGCACAAGCATGAATTCCTTAATATTAAGAAACCTGGATACTGTCATATCTTTATGGCTAGAAAGAATGGCAAATTTTATTTCTACCACTAGACATTTTTTACAATGTGGTTTTTATTTACATTTCAGAACTACTATCCTATTCAACTGAACGCCTTATAATTCTTGAGCTGCCTGTCATGGTATTATCACTTATGTTTTACATGCATCATTTAATGAAGAAAAATCTTTATAAAGACGATATATTGATAAACAAGAATTTTTTAGAAGTATAATTTTGATAGTTCATAAATTACTACTGGAAAATTAAATCCCCCTTTTCTGTTATCTATTTAAAAATACTCTGTTGACATTAATGGAAAAGCTAGTGAAAGCAAATGAAATTTGGAATTTACTTAACAGCAATGTACCAATGTTGGCTTCTTAGTTTTCACAGATGTGTCTTGGTCATGTTAGATATTAGTGTCACTGGAAAGGGAGCAAGCTCTGAGCAGGGTCGGCCTGTAATGGGTGGGTTCTTGACTTTGTGCAGGAAAGATTTCACAGTCCAAGTCCAAGTAATTTTTAGAGTACATTTATTAAAGCTGGGAATATGAAGCTGAGAGGTCTCAGGGGAGAATCAACAGAACAGAGCCTAGGTGAGTGCTTCGGCTCTCCAGAAACTGCTTATTGGTTGTCTCACCAGCTCTTATTCTACTTTTAGAGAAGATTGATTGTGTCACTCTAGATTGCTCGTTTGACTTTATTTAACAATGGAAGAGTGGGTCAGACCTGATTATTATATAAATGAGTACAAGAAAATGTACTAAACAAATGACTATGTCTTCGCTATAAAGATGGAAAATTGTAATATATATGGTATCTTATCATCTCTTTATGAAACACCTCATATAAAGTCATAATGAAAGAAATCACTTGTGGGGATTTTGCTGCCTGGCATTTTGCTTCCATAGGCCAGCTGTAGATTGCCCATACCTTCCTGTAAGGGCAGACAGCTTCTGTGAACCAGTTCTGACCTCTGGCAAATTTCTTTGCCACTGGCAGAAGGCACATTTCTGTGTCAGCCATACCTTCCAAGAAGTCTGAATCTCAGCCTCAAAACTTCATAAAAATCTTCCAAACAGAAAACATTTGGTGGGTTTCAAACCATAAAAACGTTAAAAATACAACATTTAGAAAAAATTAGCATGCAGAAAGAACTGACTTTCAAGAGGATGAATGGTTTTTTACTAGTGAGATGTCAACTAGAAATACTTGCACTCAAAACTTCATAAAAATCTTCCAAAAAGAAAACATTTAGTGGGGTTCAAACCGTAAAAACGTTAAAAATACAACATTTAGGAAAAATTAGCTTGCAGAAAGAACTGACTTTCAAGAGGATGAATGATTCTAATAAAATTTTTATTTCTTATTCGTTTAATTTCTGTTTGTGTTTTATAGTGTTCATCATATATTAATAGTTAACATATTAGTACACATAAGTTCATATAGGTACTGGGGATATATACTTAATAATTGTTTTGATGGTGTACCCTATGCAGTTTGGATAATTTCTGTTTATGTGTTTTATAGTGTTCAACATATATTAATAGTTAACATACTAATACACATAAGTTCATATAGGTACTGAGGATATATGCTCAACAATTGTTTTGATGGTGTACCCTATGCAGTTTGGAAACAAATGGCTTTAGGAACCATTTTTCACCTCTGGTTTTGCTTTTGGTTAATTTTCAAAAGCAAGTCTCAATGTCCAAACTTTTCTTGCATGCACACACTGAGCAGGAATTCTGCGCATGCTAACACAGGAAAAGGAACCGATCCCCCACTGGGTGTCGGACTGGACACAAGGCTCCCCCGCCAAGCCGTCTGCACTCGGGCCTGGGCGGAGGGTGAGCGCGATGCGCAGGCTCCTCCCGGGCCCCAGCCTGGGGATGTGGGTCAGATGGTTCAGGCCCGTGCAATCCGGCTGCTGTGAGTCATCGCCGGAAGCAAATGAGAGCGAACGGGAAGCATCTTCCAAGTTGGACTGGTAGCTGCAAAGCAGGAGCAGCAGCCGCAGCAGGAACTTCCCAGGTACCGGGGCTGGGAGGCGCTCGGGTCCCAGGTTCCCACGCGGACCCCTCTGGCCAGGAGCTCGGGCGCAGGGCGGGAGGGAGGAAGGGAGGGAGGAAAGGAGGGAGGAAGGAAGGCAGACGGCAGGCGCTAGAGGAGGAAGGGGCGGAGACGACCAGGGGAAAGGTGGCGAGGGGTAACCCGGCAGGATTGCTACTGGACGGGGGTCGCCGTGGTCCCCGCCGCGCCCAGGGTCTGAGGGTGGTCCCGGGTGGGAGGGACACTGCGGCCTGCTGACGCCACTGCGTTGCCCTTTGCCAGCCGTGAAGGAGTAGCCAGTGACCCAGAAGGGTGGGCGGAAACTTTGGGAGGTGAGTGGGAGGAGCCGCAGGGTGCAGCCGGAAAACTGGAGTGCTAATTGCGCCCTGGCCTGGATTTTCTGTGCCTCCTGGGGCAAGTTCCGGGGTGCTGGGCGAGCCACCTCCCGCGCAGATGCCTGTCCCCTGACTGTCCCTCTGCGATCCAGCTTGTTTCTCTCTCTCTCTCTCTCTCTCTCTCTCTCTCCTTCCCTTACACCCCCCTCTGATTCCTTCCTTCGTCCCTCCTTTCCTTTCTTCCTTTCTTTTTCTATTTTTTTTTCAATTATTTGTCCATTTTTCCTTTCTTTCATCTGTTCTTCGTGGGCTTCTCTCTCTCACCTTGAAGAGGTGCGCCCTCACCTGTTGTCTCCGCAGCAGCCGCAGTACTTAATGGAATGGAGCCTCACTTCCCAGCCACTCAGCCTTGTAGCTCCAGCCCCTGCCCCCTCCTCCCGCCTGCCTCCCAGCTTCCCTGT